CATGGTCTAGGGAAGGAAGGTGCCTTCTGTCTCTCTCAATAATGGGCTGGGGAAGGAAGGTGGTTTCTGACTCACTGGCAAATGAGCTAAGTCATAAGGTTTCCTCTGATACCTGACGAATGGACTAAGAAACGAAGGTGGCCTCTTGGTCATGGGTTAGGGAAGGAATGGCTTCTTCCTCACTGGCTGATGTGCTAGAGAAAGAAGATGCCTCTAGCTCTCTTGTTAATGAGCTAGAGAAAGAACTTGGCCTCTGTCTCTCTGGGTAGTGGGCTGGGAGGGAAGGAGGCCACCTGCCTTTCATAGCGATTAGTCAGAGAGCCAGAGGCCACCTTCCCTACCTTGCCCTTTGGCCACAGAGCCAGCGGTCAAATTACTTCCCTAACACATCAGACAGAGAGACACAGGCCAACTGTTTCCCTAGTCCATTATCAGGAGAGACAAAAGCCACCTTCCTTCTGTAGATCACTAGCCAGAGAGCCAGAGGACACCTTACATCCCTAGCCAATCAGTCCATTAGCTAGAGGACACCTTCCATCCCTAGCCCATTAGCCAGAGAGACCGAGGCCACGTTCCTTCCCTACCTCATTAGCCAGAGAGCCAAAGGCCAACTTCCTCCCCTAGCCAATCAGCCAGGGAGCCAGAGGCCACCTATGTTCCCTAGCCCATTAGCCAGAGGCCAAGTTTGATCCCTAGCCTAATGGCACCAGAGAGCCAGGGCAGCCTCTGCTGGTCTCTAATATTTTAGGGAAGGAAGGTGGTCTCTTGCTCTCTGGTTAATGGTTAGGGAAGCAAGTTGGACTCTAGCTTCCTGGCTCATTGAATATGGGGGTGTGATTTGTGGGATATCTTTTTTTTGTGGTGATTTGGTGGCATATGGCGGGTGTTTGGGGGAGATACATTGGGGTGATTTGTGGCATATGCATTGTTTTGGGGGGGATTTGGGGGGATATGTGGAATTGGATGTATATGGGGTTTTGATTTGGGGGGATATGGCACGGTTTTGAGGTGCTTTTGTGGGATATGGGGGGG